GGGGGGGGGGGGGGGGGGGGGGGGGGGGGGGAAGAAGGTAGTGCGGCGAGTTAAGGGTGGGTTGGAAGCTGCCCGAGGGGGGCATAGTGAAGAAGGATGAAGGTGAGGCGAAACCCCACCTCCCCTTCACCGGGGAGACCACCTTGCATCTGCCTATGTATGAATCGCTTTAAGAGATTTGTACTGATTTACTGCTTGCAGGGCAGCGGCTACGATCGGGGTCACTTAGCTGCCGCGGGCAATCATCGACGATCACAAATTGCTGTTGATCAGACTTTCCTTCTCAGCAATATGTCACCGCAAGTTGGGCGAGGATTTAATCGCGATAAATGGAATGAACTGGAGAAACATGTCAGGTTATTCTGTGTTTATCCCATTTTCTGTGAAAATTTTGTGGTTGAGGATTTATCCGCTCTTTTACTTTTTGAGTATATTGTTTTTCTTCAGTCGGTTGGTAACCTCACTGTGGTAGCTTCGAGTTAACTCGGTTTTGTTTGATTTCTCTCAGCTGGCAAAAAACGAAATCCAAATATAGCGGGGATTATTATCAACATTAGCACAATGTAATTTTATTCCAGGAGATTAGCTCGAAAGCATAAAAACGTTTATGTTTGTACGGGACCATTATACCTGCCGAAAATGGAATCAGACGGCGCACTGTACGTCAAATACAAAGTGATTGGCAAAAATAATATTGCTGTACCAACACACTTTTTCAAGGTACTCAGTGGATTTTTGCTTGTTCATCTTTGATTTCAAAAACGCATCATATGGTTGTATTCAAAAGTCAAGTCTCCCTCCGTGTTTACCCCCTTATAAGAAGCAGAGGCACTCGAGAAGTAAGCCCAACAGGTAGTAAATGCCAACAGCAACCACGTATTGGTAAAACTGCCATTGGCTCCTTTTTTTTGGAGCGTTGCTTACAAGCAAGTTGTATTGACGGGTTTTACTACTTGGCATATAACAGCACCAATTTATCATCGAAACAAAAGAACGAATCTCAAAAAGACTGAATATTATGTGGTCTAATATTTTCCTAATCGAAAAGATACAATTATAGTGATGTAGCAGTAGCGATTTTTGGAATAAGGTGGTTATAGAACACATACCGATGGCATATTAAAAATACTAAAAACCGTACCAAGATTGCTGGTCGACAGAACTGTTGAGCGCACGAAAGAAAGCGAACGTCAATTCAACAAACTGTACAAGAGATGAACATTGATCATAACAAATAG